CGTCATCACGAGGAATCAGGTTATGCATATAACGCAGATCCTTACGAAGACCCATACATGCAACGAAGCGACCATTGGAGTCCTCCTGGACCGGCGCATGCGGATGGTGCAGCAGGCTACGCTACCAGGGACACTCCTCCCTACGGCAATGGACAGTCTCAACCATATAGAGCCGTTAATGACCACAGTCCACCCATCAATCAGCCCGAAATGCTTGATGATCAGCAGAACCCGGATGCTCTTCCACACCACCCTATTCCGTTCCGGCCCGGTCTTGAGCAGGCAGCCAAGCCTGCTCCAATGCGCCAATACGAGAGCGTCGGCAGCTCAAGATCTCCCCCGGTAGCACCGCAAGGTCCACCAGCTGAATCAGCTCCATCTGGTCCGGTGACACAAGGTGAGCTGCAGCGCCTACAGCAGTTGGTCAAGGCGAAACCCAATGACCGCAAGACCCAGCTGCTCTTTGCGCAAAAGCTGGTCGAGGCCTCGACTGTCCTGGTTGATGCTAGTCGGATGGATCCAAAGACGAAAGCCAAAGCCCGAGAAAAGTACACCATGGACGGTTATAAGATTGTCAAAAAATTGGTTTCTGCCGGGTACGCCGATGCACAATTCTATCTGGCCGACTGCTACGGTCAGGGCCAGATGGGTCTACAGGTTGACCCTAAGGAAGCCTTTGGTTTATATTATGCTGCTGCGAAGCAAGGACACGCCCAGTCGGCGTACCGTGTTGCGGTGTGTTGTGAGATAGGTCAAGAGGAAGGTGGTGGCACTAAGAGAGATCCGTTCAAGGCTGTTCAATGGTATAAACGTGCAGCAGCCCTTGGTGACCCCCCTGCGATGTATAAGATGGGAATGATTCTATTGAAGGGTCTACTGGGCCAAGCTAAAAACCCACGTGAAGGAGTTGCCTGGCTTAAGCGTGCAGCAGACCGCGCAGACGCAGAGAATCCCCATGCTCTCCACGAATTGGCATTGATGTATGCGAACGGAGGAAACGATGTGGTTGCACGCGATGAAGCCTACGCAAGCCAGTTGTTCCATCAAGCCGCAGAACTAGGGTATAAATTCTCCCAATTCTACCTGGGCAATGCCTATGAGTATGGCCTGATGGGCTGTCCTGTGGATCCCCGGCAGAGTATTATTTACTACACACATGCTGCTGCGCAAGGAGAACATCAGAGCGAATTGGCCCTGAGTGGGTGGTATTTGACGGGTGGTGAGGGGATCCTGCAACAGAGTGATACGGAAGCGTATCTCTGGGCTCGCAAGGCCGCCACTGCCGGCCTTGCCAAAGCTGAGTACGCGATGGGCTATTTCACTGAAGTTGGAATTGGCGTTGTCGCAAACTTGGATGACGCAAAACGATGGTATTGGCGCGCAGCTGGTTAGTACCGCCCCTGGCATAACTCTGGATTGATACTGACACTTTTCTCGTCGCTTAGCGCAAGGATTTCCTAAGGCTCGTGAACGCCTTGAGGAGATTAAGCAGGGTGGAGCTCGTATGCAGAAGACTCGTCTTTCTCGGTCTGCCGTCAATCAGCAGAAGCAGAATGACGGAGATTGTGTTCTTATGTGAATCATCCACATATATATCTTTCTTCTTGGGTTGAATCCTCCATTTACTGATATGAAGACTTACATCATTTTAATCGTTTGATGCGATATGTCATGGCACGTGCCCATAGCGCCTCGTCTGGATCGAGGGGCTTTATACATACTAATCACTTCAGTTTGCTGAAGACGCATTGGCTATGGTTTGGTTAATCTGCACTTGGGCCCACCTCTTTTCTCTTTCTTGATTCCCCAATGCATTTCCACTTGCGGTCAGCGTGTCAGCATAGCCGAGGCTTTTCAATCATGCGATTTGCCCCAGCAGCTTATTTTCATCATGTGTTTAACCACAAGTAATACTACCACAACTTAATACTAGGGTATTTAACCTTGAGGTCACCGCTTCAAATGTCCAAAGATGGGACAGACATGCGAAGCACTTTCAGTCTCCTAGACTGAGCACCTTATTACACTTCTTCAAGTATATTTTCAAGCAGCTTCTCACTTTGTCTTAATCTACGATGCAAGCTTGGTCATGTAGAACCCGTGTCAAGACCACCTGTCAAGACTCATTCATGTTCAAGTGTAAGAGAGCCAGGACCCAAGGATCGGTGTCGTGCAATGTGTATACTGTCCATTGTCCATACATGTATGCGGAGTGAGGCAATTCCGTCGGGAGGGCGCGGGGCAATTCCGCACTCCCGAGAGAGGGATTGGTCACCACCCGATCGGATGCGCGGTGGATTAGCAAGATCGGCTCTCGCATGTTCTAAGTACGAGTGCCAGTTTTAAATCACGCCCAAGTTGCATTTTCCTATTGGTGGTTTGGTCTCGAACTTCTGCAGTACCAGTCGCATTGTTTCTAAGCTTTCCCCAGAGAGGGACCCTGAACACCTTTTTGTGTGCTTTTTTACTACTACCATACTGTACCTTGTAACTAGACCGGAAGACATCTTCTTTTGACTAGTATTTATATATGTCTCCCACCACACCCGCGCCTGAAGACCAACCCACCCACCGCAAACCTTCAACGATTGCATTAATATCGTTGCTTGCCCTTCTCCTTGCTGTTGCTATTACCCGCTCTGCGACCTCGGGCGCATCCACCACCGAGCTCAGCTCGCAAAGTACCACCACCCCCAACACCGCCAACCTGTCTCGTCTCCGTCGCTTCTTCAGCTCACCCGTCGCCTCCGCAGTAGGTCGATCTACGGTCGAGTCCACCACCATGTCGAAAACACCGGTGTATTTCTTGAGTCATGGGGGTGTACGTCCAGCCCTTCCCCATTTGACAGAGGCGAGATACTAATTCTTCTTGTGGTGTAGCCGAATATCATGTACGACCATCAGCACCCGGCGTACCACAAGCTGGGGGAGATCGGACGCGAGATCACGACGAAAGTGAAGCCGCGGGCGGTGGTGGTCTTCTCGGCCCATTGGCAAGGGAAACGGGATACGATCCAGGTGAATACGGCGGAGATTACGGAGTTGATCTATGAGTATGTTCTTTTCCTTTGCGATTTCCGGTTTTCTTCGTGATTATCGAATCGTCAGGCTGGAGATGGGTGGAGAAACGGTTACTGACCCCTTGAAGCTTCTACGGGTTTCCGAGCCATTACTACAAGGAGAAATATCCGAATGTTGGGAGTAAGGAGGTCGCGGAGAAGGTTTTGAGTGCGCTGGGTGAGGCGGGAATCAAGGCTGAAGGGGTGAAGAGGGGGCTGGATCATGGCGTTTGGGCGAGCTTCAAGTGTGGTAAGTTGCCTCTTCTTGGATGAAGTTGGAGGTCAGGGAGGGGAAAGGGAGAAACAGAGGCTTGCTAACATCGTGCCGTTCATAGCCTTTGAGCCCGAGAAGAACCCGTTGAATGTCCCTATTGTGCAAGTCTCGCTGTTCGACACGGAAGACCCCGTTCAGCATTACCGACTTGGCCAGGCGGTGTCGAAGCTTCGTGAGGAGAACATCCTGATCATTGTTTCCGGGATGGCAGTTCACAATTTGCGGGACCTGCAGTTTTCCTTTGGCGACCCGCGGCCGCTGCCGTATACCGCCAGCTTTGACGAGGCTCTGAAGGATGCGGCCACCGCCAAGCCGGCGGAGAGGGAGCAGGCCTTGGTGGATCTGCTGAAGCGGCCCGATGCCCGCAAGGCGCACCCGACCTTTGACCATTTGCTCCCCATTCATATTGGAGCTGGCGCGGCCGGGGACGACAATGGGAGGCGCTTGTGGACCCTGAAGGAAGGAAGTATGAGCTGGGCGCAGTATAGATTCGGCGAGATCGCCACCAATACTAGTTCGCTGTAGTCTGTGTTGATAAACCTGGTGAATTTAATAGATTTCCAAGTTCTAATAGGTTCGGTAATTTTTCGGGCGGTTCGTGGCGAGAATTGGGTCTTCAGATTCATCTATAGGTACAGCGCAGAGGAAGAGGGCAGAAACATGGTTGCATGAAGATATATGGGCGCAAATAAATAGGACTGATTATGAAGACGCCTTCACCAGTTGGGTAATCTTCTCTTCGACCTGCTGGTCCGTCAAGCCTGTGTTGCAGCAGTTTCCGTCAGTTATCACAGTTGCGAGTCAAAATTGATCTCGAAAGGTCTTACCGGTCAAGGCTTCCTGCTTCTCTCTTCCGAGCTCTGCATATGCTAGTTAGCTCCAGTCCGCGAGCAGGGGTGTCCACAATAGTTGATCTTCGGGCCATACCGTATCTAGCGTACACTCTGGGCACAGTACCAGCTGCCTCGCGCATCAGGATAGGAGTGGAGGGGTTGTGCTTCTTCATGGTGGGATAGGCGCGCTGCAGGAACGACCTAAGGCAAACAATCCATGTCCGTCAGCAATTGGGCTCGAACGACACATCCTGATAATTGCGCGAGAGTCGACAGACCGGGTAGCGGCGCTTTCCTGAGAGGTCTGGCAGAAAAGGAAGCGCAGCTCCTTCAGACCCTTAGTGAAAGCGTACTTGGAGGACATTGTGAAGTGGTGACGGATCGCAAAGGGCGGGATGGGTCGGGAACACGCGGGAAAGACCGTCAGACAAACTGGGCACCCGTCAGTATTAACTCTGGATGACTCGGAGAGTTGCAATTGAAGACGGCGGGGATAAAAACTGACAATGCGTGCTGGGAGCTCTGATCGAGGAGTTACCGACAAACTGATTCCCACTGAGTGAGGTTCTGAGAGGGACCCCGGCAGAACCAATCCAGTCAAGCGTGATTGTCACCGCTTACCTCAGCCGGAAAAGAGCCGCAACCCCAACAGAGTGAGGCCGACGTCGGGGCCTTTTGACGGATCGCTTCATCTCGACTACCTTTAGTCTATCTTTACCTACAATCTCGAATTTCCTGACCCTTCGCTCTACCTGTGGTTATTGCTATCAAGGGGGTTTCTTCTTCTTCTCCTTGCGTCGCTTCCCTCTCTCCGCTCTCTTGTACCTGGGTTCGCCCGACACTCTCCGCTCTCACCCTTCCGAACTCTCCCATAACACACGCCTTCGCCCGCCGCGCTCGGTCTAAATTCATCTCAACCCCCTTCACAATGTCGTCTCGTGTCGGTCTCCGCTTTTTCCAGAACTCTCGCGCTGCTTTCCGCAATGCATATGGCCCCTTCCGTCGGCCTGGCGCCCAGGGTTTCCGGTTCCAGAGCTCAGATGCCGCCGCGGCCGAGCAACAGAGCACTTTCCAGCGCCTATGGAACAGCCCGGTCGGTGTGAAGACGGTGCATTTCTGGTGAGTTCACAGCCTTTGAGGGACTTGACTTGCACTATTCGTGGGGTGCAATTGATCTGGGAGGTCAAGAACCAGGCTAACATAAGACACTCGCTAGGGCCCCGGTTATGAAGGTATGAGTCCTCATGTGACGACGAGAAATTCCCACCCCTCATCGGCGTCGCCTACTGTTATACTTGAGATCTACGATCGTTCATCACTGACTCTGTCCGCTCCAGTGGGCACTCGTCATTGCCGGCATTTCCGATCTTAGCCGTCCCGCCGAGAAGCTGTCCCTGACCCAGAACGGTGCTCTGATGGCCACCGGTGCTATCTGGACTCGCTGGTGTATGATCATCACTCCCAAGAACTACCTGTACGTCTACCTCTTCAATCGACAATTCCTTTCTGCGATGTAGTAGTCAATAGATTGACTAATCGGATGTCTAGGCTTGCTGCTGTCAACTTCTTCCTTGGCATCGTCGGTGTCGTCCAGGTCACCCGTATCGTTCAGTACCGCCGTAGCTTGGATGGCTCTACCACGGAGGCTGTGAAGGATCTGGAGAAGGAGGTGGTTGATGATGCCAAGGCTGTTGCTGCTACCACCGAAGCCGCTGTCAAGAAGTCGGCTTAAATGTCCCTTTTTGGGCGACCGAGAAGGGGGTTTGATCATGTAAGCTGGACACTCCGTCAAAATTAGATTAGATTCCTTTCATATCTTCGAAACATGGGATTGTCGGTGTACCACTCGGATGGTCTAAGGAGCAGCGACCGTGGAGGCGCGGAGAAATCCCGCTAGGACTTTTTTCTTTCTTTTTTTTTTTTTTACCATTTTGCGCATGTATATATTTCCATTGACTAGAATGAAAGATTTGAAGCTGAAGGGCGATTTCAACAAGCCATTTAAATAGTTCTATATGGGCCTCAGCCGACGGCGCACCATTGCATAGGGGAAGAAGGAAACTGTGACTCGATTGATTATGTGTTGTTGCTTCTGTGTCTGCGCCGGCAAAAAGCCCAATGATATCTGGCTTGAGACAATGTAGCGGTCTGAAGTAACCGCAAAGCTATCTCCAAAGATGGGGAATGGAGAGGTAATGAAGCTGGTCACCAGAGTGGAGGTCATATGTTTTGCTCTCCTCCACTTTTCATTTCCCTCCCCTCCACTTCTCCGTCTGCTCATCTCCACCAGCTTATTCTTATCACATACTGCGGAAGTCCTCGTCATTCAATGCTCAAGTCCATCCAAATAAGAGCCACAGAAATGCGCCAGTCCCGGTTCGAGTACCGACCCCAGGTCCTTGGAGCCAAACATCGTCAGAAATCCCGGGGATAGCGGGCCAGCGCAAGCCACCGCGGCCACTTGCTATGAATGATAATATGGAAGAGAACAAACCCGACCAGCCATGCTGCAGGGGAAACAGCACAACCAAGGGCTACCGAGGACGCATCAATCTACTGCTGGTGCCATTTTTCCCCCAATCGGACAATCGCAGCGGGAGTTAGCCCTCCTATCACATCGCCCGGCCACTATAACTGCCATCATGAGCTTGACTGTTGCTCCACGCTTTCTCCACACTCTCCGCATCGGCTGTTTTCATTTCCCCGGATACATTCATGCCCAGGGAGACGCTTCCCCGCCTTGAGAGAGCCGGTGATGCAACGGGCCTGTGCACGCCCGGGGGGAATTTGGGAATATATAAATACAATTAGGGCGGAGAATGAATTCGCACAGCGGCCAGGTTCTCGTTCAAGACTATTCCTTTACCTCTTCGAATTATTACTCCCCTGAGCTGTCAGTTCAAAAATGAGAACCTCGCATCTTCTTAGCCAAGCGCTCGGCCTTCTTGCGCTGGGCGCGACAGTGGAAGGCTTCAACCGCGACCGAAACCAAGCCTGCGGGCCTCACAAGCCCTTCCAGCCTCTGCCCACGAGCAAGTCCAGAAGCAAGACTTGCCATGTTCGCACTCATGGGGACGGGTCCGACGATTCGGCGTATATTCTTTCTGCCATCAAGCAATGCAACAATGGAGGAAAGGTTGTCTTCGACGCCGACAAGGAATACATCATCGGCACGGCATTGGATCTCACTTTCCTGAAGCACATTGATCTTGGTGAGTCAATGTTGATTGTTCTTATTTTTACCTTCCTTCTTTTCCTTCTGTATTAGGTCCATGTCATGGTGACTAACCCTGACGTGCTCAACAGATATCGAGGGAACCATCCAGTTCACCAACGATACCGATTACTGGCAAGCGAATGCTTTCCAACAGGTCTTCCAAAATGCAACGACCTTCTTCCAGCTCGGTGGTGAGGACGTGAACGTTTATGGAGGCGGCACTCTGGACGGTAATGGTCAAGTCTGGTACGATCTGTACGCAGAGGATGCTCTTATCCTCCGCCCTATTCTGTTTGGCATTATTGGTCTGAATGGGGGTACCATTGGCCCGCTGAACCTGCGCTATTCCCCACAATGGTACAACCTCATCGCCAACTCGACAAACGTTCTCTATGATGGCATCAACATCTCTGGATATTCCAAGAACCCGTCCGTGACTGCTAAGAACACGGATGGATGGTACGTTGCTCTTCTTTGTTCTGCAGTAGAGGGGGTCGGCTAACGCTTGTTTTGCTAGGGACACTTACCGGTCCTCGAACATCGTGATTCAAAACTCTGTGATCAACAATGGCGATGGTACGTCTCCAAACCCCCGCGAAACCGATCAATAGCGCACAACCTCTAACAAAGAATGGATTGGTAGACTGCGTTTCCTTCAAACCGAACAGCACTGACATCCTGGTGCAAAACCTCCACTGCAACGGCTCGCACGGTATCTCCGTGGGCTCTCTCGGACAATACCTGGGCGAAGTGGACATTGTACAGGACATTCTCGTGTACAACATCTCCATGTACAATGCCTCGGTAAGTGAAGCCTCATATATAACGCACCCGCTTGAGCCACTTCGGCACCAGTACTGACCCGTGTACAGGACATGGCTCGCATCAAGGTCTGGCCCGGTGTCTCGTCCGCTCTCTCCGAGGACCTCCAGGGTGGCGGTGGCAGCGGTCGCGTGCAGAATGTCACCTATGACACCGCCTACATCGACAATGTCGACTGGGCGATCGAAGTGACCCAATGCTACGGACAGAGCAACCTGACTCTGTGCAACGAATACCCGGTGCGTACACCAGACCCCAAGGGGAAACCCGGCTGGAGGTAGTCGAATTCTAATGTGTCATGACAAACCAACAGAGCAGTCTCACCATCTCCGACGTCTGGTTCAAGAACTTCCGCGGCAAGACCTCTGGAAAGGAGAATCCTTATGTCGGAACCCTGGTTTGCTCGAGCCCCGAGGTGAGTTTCTGGATCGGTAGTAGGCGAGTCAGAAGAACGCAAAAAGCTGACAGATGTCGCGATAGGTGTGCTCGAACATCTACACCGACAATATCAACGTCGTCAGCCCCAAGGGCACCAACGACTTTGTCTGCAATAACGTAAGTTGATTGTCCCCCCGAGTTGTGCCTGGTTCGATCTTGTCGCTCATGCTGGATTAGGTGGATACCTCGGACTTGAGCGTCAACTGCACGGCGACTTCGAGCTAGATGACCCGAGCTTATTTGAGGAACTGTACATATTGGACCCGTTTGATAGCTAGAAGAGAAAGAAAGCTGTATGCTGAATGAATGCTATAAATCCAATCTCTGACCACCGAAGCATAAGGTTCTCTGTACATACACCTTCGGGACTATACATGACCCAATCCCCACATTAAACTCGTACCAAGCACTCTTCCAAGAACGCATCCACCCGTACCACATCCCCCAGCGTAGCCACCACCCCGACGTACCCATCCGGCCGAACGACAGCGACCGCCCCATGCGCCGGATTCACCCCGTAGATGGTGTACACATCATCCATCTCATAGCCACTGTAGAACCGCATCTCGGAGTGCCGCTTCAGCTCCGGGGGCGTATCCCGCCACGTGAAGTCCCGGGACAGGCGCGGGTGGATGACGACCTGCTCAATCGCGAAAGTCGGGTACTTGGGAAGAACCCGGGAGCCGAGGACGCGCAGGGTCTGTGCGGAAGTGCCCGTGGGGTTGAGAAGGTCGGTGGATGTTAGGACGAGGAGGCGGAAGCGGCCGGTGGAGAGGAAGTCTGGGTTTGGGTTAGTTATGAGGTTTGGCACCGAGGGGAGGATGAGGATGTGTCAGACGTGGGTATTGTATGATGTATTGTGCCATGATGAGTGAGGGCTTTGAAGAATTAACTCACCATCATGCAAGTCTCGTCTGTTTCCATCTGCGTGACGCTTATAGGTCACGTTTAGTAGTCTTCGACCAGGGCGGAGAATCCCGCTAAGGTAGTCGGTGCCTTGGATCGGGTTTGTGGGGGTGGTAGCTGTAGCTGCAGCGGCTGCAGCTACGGTGCTGTTTGGTTTTGTTTGTTGTTGGTGTTGGTGTTGTACGATCAGGCTCTCCGGATATTCGATTCCACAACCGCTGGTGAAGCCGTTGCCTGTGCTGAAGACCTCGAGGAATTGGTCGTGGGTGAGCCCGGGGAGGCTGTCTTCGGTGCTGCCAATCTTGCCGGAGAACATGGAGGAGAAGGCGCGGTCGAACTCGATGAGTTGGTGAGCGATGGTATGGCGTTCTGAATGGTAGGTTGCGAGGATGGGATCTGGACTTCGAGGGTTCGTTGTTGAGTTTGGGGTGAGGCCGTTGATCACGTAGGCGAGTTTCCAGGCGAGGTTGTATGAGTCCATCATCGAGACATTCATGCCTTGGCCAGCCTAGTTTGTGTTTCCTGTTAGGTAGTTGATAGGGAGAAAATTCCGGGGAGGGGCTGTGATACGTACCTTTGGGCTGTGTGTATGACAGGCTGAGAGTTGGTTGTTTGGTTAGTTTGCCGGAGAAGCCTGAGGTTTGCCATGGATGAAGAAGAGGACGTACCATCTCCCACAATGAACATCCGCTCGATTCCCTTGGAATCCTTGACCGTGAACCGATCTGAGACTCGTTGACCGATCTGATACGCCGCCCACCAGTCCACTGCCCCGCCCTTCTTGGGCTGGATGTAATATGGCTTGAATGCATCGGCCGCGTGTTGAAAGATGCCTTCTAACGTGACCTTGCTTCTGCGAGCTCGCGCATCCTCCTTCGCGGCCACCTCGTCCACCGGCCGCTGGTCCTCATCCACCTCCTCCTCTGAGGCCGCTTCCTCAGGGACCTGCACATACAGACGAGTCAAGTAATCCCCCGTCGCTATCCGCTCGCGCGGGATGACCATCACTGACCCCGCCGGGGAATGAATCGCACACCGTCGCCGAATGTCTGGGAAATCCGTGTCCACCACTAAGTCAACGACACCCCAAATGTGATCCAGCGACTCGCCGACCAACTGCAGTCCCATGCACCGGCGCACCATCGAGTGCGCCCCATCCGCTCCGACCAAGTACTTTGACCGCACTGTGCGCCGCTCGCCGTTGGTATCTAGCTCCGCGACCACGGGGAACTCCGCATCACCGTCCTCGTCAATTTCGACCTGAACAAGCCGGGTGTTCCGCTGCACCCCGCGGGACGAATACCGTAATAGGTCGGTCTCGAGGATGCGCTCAATCCGACCCTGGTGGATGGTGACCTCATGGCGATAGCGCGCCGGCACGGCGACGTCTGGCACGATGGCGGTGCGCTCGATAATCTCGTCCGGGTTGGCGGACGGGTTCCAGAAGGCCACTTCCTCCATGTGGCAGCCGTCATTGAGGATCTCTTCCGCGAGCCCCAGGCTCTTTAAGACCTCCAGGGTGCGCGGCTGCAGCCCGTCCGCCTGGCCAGATTTCAGAGTACCTGGTTTGGCGTCAACGCAGAGGAGGGACTCGTCGC